GTAGAGGACCTTAGAAGAAGTCTACTTACACATGGGTAAGTACGTCTCTTCATGTATGGTTGTTTGTTTATTTATTTTGAGTCAGGATCTCAGTATGTAGCTCAGGCTGGTCTTGAACTCTTAAACTCAGTATGTAACCCAGACTGGCTTTGAACTCACAGCCACCCCCTTGCCTCAGCCTCCCAATTGCTGGAATTCCAGGCCTGTGATGCAATGCTTGGCTTTACATGTATAGTCTTTGTATGAAAAAGGTTTAAATTACAAACAGGCTCCTAATTAATTAAGAATTGTATTAATTGTAAAGGAGTTTAGAATGTGGATTTAAGTGAACTGGTGTAAATCTTTCCCTACAAAGTACCACTTGAATAAATTTAGACATGCTATTTATTTTTTGATATATGAATTCTTAGGGTTACTAAGATGAAATCTTATGGATTAAATACCTTTACTAGGTTTATAGTTTTACTAAGTTATAGTGATGGTGGGCGGGAATAGAAAATTAGAATTATATCTTGCAGCCCCTGGGTCTTAGGAAATTCTTCTAGTGTCTAGGGATGAATTGGACACCATCTCCAAGTTATACCTTCAGTTTTTTAAAAGGGATATTTGGTTTAGTCTTTTTGTGAAGCTTCTCTAGTGTTTCATGATACATGGCATACAATATATTCTGAATCTGTGCAAAATGAATAATTAAAGCAAGTCAGGCACGCTTGTAACCTGAGCACTTGAAATGCTAGGATAGGATGATTGCTGTGAATTTGAGGCCTAGGTAAAAAAATAAGCTCAGGCTATCTTGAACTACATACTAAGACCCTGTCTCAAAAAAAGTAAATAAGTATTGCTTGACTACTTAAGTATAAAGATGCACAAAGTTTGGAGGGTAAAATGTCTTTTGCATGTTGGATCATGTGTTAGCATCAACTGAGGATGGGACCTAGAAACTTCTGGGGGTACGAGAGGACAATCGTTAATCAAATGGGGGCATTGGCTCAATGAAGAATGACTCAAATATCCAGGTCAAAGGAAAGATGGACAAAATTATGGACACTTAGATGAAAGTCTTCTCTCTTGCTGTGAGAGCAGAAGCAAAGAATTTTAAGTTTTCTAGGAGCAGAGCCTTCTATCTTCTAGTCTTTGTCTCTGACCAAGGACTTCACTTAATATTAATAAACTTGAATAAATGTTTGTGAATGAATGAATCAGTTTGTTTGATAACAGTTTCTACAGGATACAGGAATGAAGTCCAGAAGCTAGTCAAAGAAGGATGTCAGCAATCTGCATCCCACCTTAACGCTAGAATGACTTTGGCACTAGGATTGGTTTGCTGAAGTGTCAGCGGTGTCTCAGCCCAAGGATAACATGAAGTCTGTGAGTGTCTAGATATTTCACATAAACGTGGGCATATCCTAGTCTGGAAGCAGCAGGTAAATCCTTAAACTTCTATACATGCTTACCAGAGTCTGCTGTTGAGGATACAACAGGGAGGAAATGTAGGCAAGGCTGAGAAATGAAAGTAATTTTGTATTCTATTGGTTTAAAAACATACATTCAAAACTTTTATCCTGCACTGTTTTACTTGGTTGCTTTGTTGTAGGATTGTGATTTTATAAATATATCATAGCTAATGTTCTGCCATTGAGCTGATGTCCATCATGCATATAAAATGCAAATTTCTTAACCAGTCATAGCAAGCTGTGTGTTGTGTTATCAAATTAGCCACTTTTCCAGAAACACTGCAAACCCTCTTCATGGGCAATTATGCTCCAATCATACTTAATTTCTTTTTTCAGGTCTTGAAATGAAGACATGAACCTGTTCTTTGAAAAGCACATATCCCATTGTATTATAACCATTTATTTTTTTATTTTATCCTTTAGACTTTTCACCTCAGAATGATAAGGTTCATGTCTTCATTTTTTTCTACTCACCCTAGTTCAACAATGATCACTGGCTGAACCAAATCACCCAAAGACATGTATTTGTGGTGATACTATATGCCAGCTAAAATGGTTCCAAACAATTAGCATTTAGTAAGACAACTTCTAAACAAATTGTTAAACATCACATAATGAACTTGGTCTTCAAATGGTTTTGTCTACATTTAGTTATGATGGATATTTGCTCTGGCAAGTGGAAAAGTGGGTTGAATAGAGTCCCTTATACCTGTAATTATGTCTGTGTAGTTTGCCATGAGAAATGATTTTTCTCGTCTAAAAAGTATATTGAAAATGCCATGTTTTTGGTGATTTCATTAACATTTTAAAATGTTAACAATTCTGTCAGCTGAAACCAAAAATGACTGTGTGAGAAATGAAAGCTTGCATAACTCTGACATCCAGGAGTCATGGCTCATTATCTTCCTGGCTTTTATTATGCAGTGAGGAAGCAGGGTCAGCTTCACAAAATTTAGAAACAATTAAGAAAATTACTATATGCAGATGTGACTTGTGGACTGAGAATAACTAACTTTCTAAAAGACTGAATTAAACAAAATAAATAAGAATGAGGAAACCATAGATGTTTGATGGCTTAAGGCAGCTTTTAACTTATTCATTACAAAGACTGCTTCTAGGGTTTTACCCACGTCTCCTGACCCTTTCCTGAACACTTTGAAACTTTCTCTTTGACTGTATTCCTCAGGGAGTTTAAGAAGTCCTGGGCATATTTTCTGAAGTTCTTTGAGTTCAATTTTCAAACACATCCACGGGGATGGAAGCATTGTCACTGGGTCTTGTATACCGTGAACTGCTGCTGGGTTCCGAGCCACACACATTTCTTTCACAACTTTCAAAGTTTGTGGAATAAAAATGTAGAACCAGCCATGAAGGGAGAGGTCATTCACTAGTCTAGCATTCTATTAAAAGAAGAAAACAAGAAAGAAAAGGAAAGGAATAGAACCAGACAGTATCTTGGTAAATGCAAAAAAGATGTGTATTTTTAATTTTTCTACCAAATACTTATTTCTAGAGCAGCAGATGATGGAGGATACAAATACAATAAAGTTTCCTTTCCTTCTTTGTGTTTTAATAGATTTCAGTAAATAACTATAAGTACCTGCTGTAGGCTAGGGCTAGATAATAACACCTCCATTTAGTAGAATTTATATTCTCAAGTTCAGAAGGCAGACACACAGTCATACAGTGATGACAGATTGAGGTAAGTGCAGTCATATGGACATATGTACATTTCATGTACAAAGTGCCATGGAATCCTTGTGGAAAAGGCATGAACTTTTAATATAAATTAAATCTTGGAGAACTAGAAAATCAGTTGATTTTATCACAACAACCTATGTAAAAAATATGCTTCTTAAATGTACATTCTAAATATTTTAAGGATTCAGACAGAATCATTTTTCTTGTGTTATTTTACATAAGACAGAGAAATGCTAAATTTTTATAATTTTTACAAAAGTTTCCTACTTACGATTTTCCTTCCAAAATAAGTATGTAAAATTATAAATCAAAGTTTTGCTTATGTGTTTGTTGTGGAGAATATTTCTTGTCTTGAATAAAATGCTCAGCCTAAGTTTTGTGGTATTTTACAAATAGACGAATAAATCTAGGTAGCAGCTACAAAAATATGCAAACACCATAAACTTAGAGAAATTCAAATAGATATTGGAAAAATGGAAAATTATGATGATGAGGTTAAAACTTTTATTTATCACTAGAGGAATCTAAAAAGCTGGTGTTATTTTATGTTTTATTAACAACATATTTTAAGGTATTTATAGGTTATTCTTGCGTTTTAATTCTGCAGTGGCCTGTGGCATGTTGTCTTCACAGAGTGGGTGCTCAGTCCACATGTGTAAAATTAAAGGTAAACTTTGAGAACTCCTTCCACCGTTACCAAATATTCATGTCTTTAAAAGTGAGACACTGTGAGATTGCTTGCAGGCCTCAGTACAGTCAGATGCCACTCTTTAAAGATGACTCCTTAAAAAGGAGACTTGGATTACAGGCCAGGTTTTATCCCTGAAATAACAGTATTTTCCCAGTATGGCCACTCTGAGTACAAGTGATATTTTTCCAGAAGAAAATTTGAGCTTCTACAAAATATACTTTAAAGTTATTCTGCTTTTCCAAGGAATTATGAAAACTATTTCCATATGATGGATTATTCTTCATTTTAAATGCACTTTTTCATTCTTGCTTCTGAATCATAAAGTACTAAGCCAGAAAAGCATCTATTTAGAGTATGTATCCATAAAATTGTTTATATATCAAATGAGAAACAATAATACATTAAAAAAATAAAACAATAATACTCCTGTGGATTTCTTAGTTTGATCTATTATTGATCTATCTATCTATCTATCTATCTATCTATCTATCTATCAATCACAATGACTCTATAGTTTGAAAGGTCTGTTATACCCATTTATCACAAGTAGATGCAGAACATAGGAAATTAAAGCTCAACAAAGTAATCTGACTAGGACATACAGGTAGTGAGTAGCAGCCTATATTGCCTTAAGGCCTGCGAGTAGAGAAAAAAGTCTCTGCAGTCCTATGTGACTAATTTTTTTCTCTGTATATATTCAGAGAGATTTGTTCAATCTATGGATGTTGGAAAGAATGGGCAGGGAAAGAAATATTTGTTGTGCCTCCGTATGTGCCAAGCATGGTGTTAATTACTTCACATATATAATTTACTGTATGTACCCAGTTAATAATGGTCATCTTAATTTACTAGTTAAAAAACTGATACTTAGAGCTTTTAAATAACTTGCAAGAACATAATGGTGAGTAGGAGGCTGGCCTAAGGCTTAAAAGGAGGCCTGAACGCTTGTTTTATGCATGCACTTACAAGTATATTGATCAAATTACAGATGATAGATCATGATGTACTAGCCTTAGGTAACCAAAAACTCTTTCAGAAATAGTTACATTTTACAGCTATTCAGAGTCAAGATTTTTGCAACAGGATAAATGGTAAAAGTTTACTTCCTGTCCCAGCCCTATGAATGGAAATGTAATGGACGTTTTGCATCCTACCTTGATAAATATTGTCCTGAAGTGAGATTTGTAGTTTTCACATCCATGCAATTCATCGTGCTGGGAATGAGAGCGAGTTCTGGCTGAATCATAGTGGCTGTTGCTACAGCTCTTGCAACTAGCTCCATGGCATCTTGTACGTAGTACTCAAAGACAGATTGTGTTGTTTTTCCATGAGCAATTAGCCCCAAGGGCAGACCTTCGGTCCTCAGTTCCTCCACATTCTGGGAGTCTCCTAGCACCCAGTGAAGTTCAGAGGGTGTTACCCCAAATTGGGTGGAAATTTCAAAAATCTGCCGGATGCTTTCCATGTCGCAGCCAAGCATCACTACTGTGGCTGTGCTGTTCTTAACACTCTCGAGCTGGACCTGTAGAAAGCTAAAGAGGTCCTTGGTGGAGGAGAGGTTAGCAGTGATGTTGATGATAGACCCAAGGTGGAACTTGGAATTATTCTGGGTAAAAAGAAGGAAGTCGGTGACGTTCCAGTCTTCCTGGCAGAGCAACAAGCTAAAATTGTACCAGCTGTTCATGGTCAGGATTGAGACAGTGACGTCAGCGTCAGAACTTAATGAATTTTCTAAACTCAGCTGTAGGTGAAGGGGATTCTGTATTCAAAGATACGAAAAAGAAGAATTAGAAAGCATTGGTCAAAGACTGAGTACTTTTACTTTCTTATAGGGTTAAATCTTTCATTTTCCCCCTTGATATTCAAGTACCTCTGGGGTAAAATTCTCATACTTGGGAAAAAATTTGCTTTCAGTGTAATGGAACTATTGGTTCTTTACATTCAGTATCCTGATGATGTTTGTTAAGAGTGGCTACTCTTGGTATAAATCTAAGAGCTAACCTAACCATATATTTGTCTTAGATTTTTATGATTTTTTTCCCTTACAGACAGTCCCCTTCATGCATCCTAATTTCTTAGGCTTCTGTTAATATCTCATTTGTTAATCTTCTTCAGGAGGAATAATTGAAGACATTAAATGCACCTTGTATAAAGATTAACATGGAAATCTTAACACAGGAAATTTCTTGTATAATGAAGTGTAGAAGACAAATGAACCATAGTTTCTTAAGTTGCTAGAATCTTAGTGTATACACGAAGATTAAGTATATAGTCCAGTGTTGAAGGCTTCATTATATTGCTGTATTTAGTGAGCTTGGATTCTTCTGTGAAATGTGTGTTGTTAAATACATTACTATAACTTCAGTTACAATTTCACCTAGATATAGAACTCACCAACTCAATAGAGAAAAATACCTTGTTTGAAGAGTCAAAGATTATTAAGCACATAGCTCAAATGTAACCTTTCAATATTAATATGTGTTAACCCTTTTTCATATTTATTTATTTATTTTGGTACTGGGGATCGAACTCACAACCTTGTACTTGCCAGGGAGGCACTTATGCCGCTGAGCTAAATCCCTGACCCCAATTCTTTTCAAAAGAACACATTTAACACATTGATCCTTTAACAATGATATTGTAAGAATGTTTAGAACAATGGCATCTACATTTTTACTCTCAAATAAATATTGATTAATTGAACTACATATGTTACAATGGGGCATTATTGATCTATTTTTGAGAATTTGCCAAAGATTTATATTCATAATATATACTGTATGTCAAAATATGAGGGCTTTCTCCATTAAATAATATATATATATATATTATATATATAAACAATATATATTTATATTTATATATATTTATATATTTACATAAAAGGAGTAAAATATGTAATAAGAAACTGGATTTAGGCAAAACTTTGAACTCCATGAAGTGTTGAAAGTTTTCTGATTTGTATAGATCAAAGAATGAGGATTGTAAGGGGATTACTAGGAGGAAAACAACGACTATTGGCAAGAAATGAGGGCATTCATGATGGCAGATAGGATGAAATTTTAAAGTTTGTTCTGAGAATTTGACTTTTGTTCTTCTAATTTAAACTTTTTAACAAGACTTTAACAAGACTGGTTATAATAAAGCAGCATTTTGGGAGGGTTCTCTGTAGGCAGTTTTGATAGAAGTTAGACAATGTCCATTAAGATCTAGATTAGGTAATTTAACTGGAAGCTCATGTTAGTAATGGAGGGGAGGGCAGCAAAAAAGGCTTTTCAAATTAGAAAGAATTTAGTGACAAGATGACATGTGAGGGGCAAAAGAGAGAAAGATATCAAAAATCAGGAGTGGTTACCACTCGTTTCCAGGACTCGAGATGCCAGATAAAATCTCAAAGTGAGAGGATTGGAAGCTTCCCTTAACTGGTGCTTTTAATGAATGTGAATCTCTCCAGAGAGTTCTTTCTGTCCTCCTCTTTCAGTTTCCTTCCCTTCTCCTTTTTCATTTCCTCCTTTACCTTAATCCTTTTTCAGCAGAAAAGAATAAGGAAATGTGAAGAAAAGCTCTACATTTATTTGGCAAAAACGAATTATTCCTGAATGTTTTCCTGGTTCCCACTTCCTAATTTGTTGCCAGTTTTCTTTGTAAAATATATGATCAAATCATTTTATAGCACCCTAACTTCTGGATTACCCATAGGACAAATTCCAAAACCAGTTGAATGGCTTACAAGGCGGTGGCTATCTCATCTTTAGCTTTATTTCCACCAACCCAAACATACTGTAGGAGAATAGGATATAGACACCTCTCAAAGCAGGTTCTTTGACATGAGGATTATTTTGAAAAATTATAGGTAGAGAAGAAGCACTGAAAACTGAGCAGAAGCTACAATTCTGTAAGGGAAATTTACATTTTTATTTTTATTTGTGAAGTTTTCTTTCTCTGTGTCCAAAAGAGAATAAAGACACAACCAGTAGAGATCCTTATCAGGGAAGAAGGTGCCAAGACAGTCTGCTTCACAGTTTCTTCATGTTTACTGCACTGTTCATGACTACCTCCCAGTCTCCTTGGCAGAACCCGTAATTTAGTTTTAGTTTTCTCTTTTACCTCTTTTCTTTTTTATTCTCTTCTTTTACAAAGTATTTCCCTTGGCTCATGGATTGTCAGGCTGCTGTTTTTCTTTTGTTAATCTGCCTTTTATGAAAGAGGATGATGTCTCAAAAATGAACTGTGAAAGACAGAGCTCATCTTTACGATGTACATCAGTTCAAGTCATGTTGGACAATGTATTCTTCTTGAACTATGTCAAGCATTTTCAAGGATGTATGCAAATTTATACTATGTTTTTCACTTGGTAATGGATTGCCTATATTCATATTTGTTCTTTAAAACTCACCTACATAAAGATTATTTCTGGAAAAATTTTGGTGTGTGTTTTCTAAAATTTATACTGTGATAGCTGAGCTTTTTATTTACTGAAAAATCCGTATCTATATTAAAGATCCTGTAGACTATTTGAGTTCATCTGAGTGGGACAGAGACTGTGGAAAGATGGAAGATTGTATCTAGAGCCAAAATTATCTAGGCCTATCTTACAATGCTTTCAGAGAATTCATTTATTTTTAAGCTTTGTGTCTGACATAACATTCTTGTAGCTATTAAGTAGATGTATTGGAATGTAATGTGAGGCTTAGCAGACCACCAGCCTCTGCCCATGATAAAGTTAAAATGTTACAACATTTGAAGCCTACACATTTTCCTGTTTTACTATGACCTGCCTACCTAAAGCCCATGAATACATTTGTTGAATATATTGATTTATGTCTTTGTTCCATAGCTAAAAAGTTCACGTAACCTTTGCAACTGAGAGCCTGTTACCCCAAGTAACTTGAATCCATGTGCCTTGCTCCCTCATATGTGTCTCAGCATAAATTTTCTCTCATTTCCTTTGAAGCAGAGCTATATTTTGTATTGATAGTCATAGTAATTTACCTCTGCTGAATTCCTGCAGTGGTGAACTGAGTTTTTATTTGTTTATTCATCACTGACTATACTGACCAGGCAGAATCAGTAGTCTCACACCTATGTTGTGTTGTTCGTTCCTCTATTACAGAGCTCTTCCCACAGTGCTGCATCTACTTGTGAAGTGTTTATATAAATAGATTTTTTCTGTCATTCACTCCAAGTTCTGGGCTATAATCATAATCTGAAAGAGTGAAAACAAAAAGACTGGGAAGAAAGCCATTTATAGCAGAGTGTCAAGGCCCAGTGTTTTGCTCCAAATTTTGACAAAGGCTCTTCTAGACACATTGCATGGAGAAACTCACTGAATTGGTGCAGAAGAGCAAGCACAGTGAGGCAAGGAGGATATTATTATCCCCTTATTATAGTGGGAGTGAAATTAGCTAATCATAGAGAACATTTAGCCCTAGACAGAGAAATAAATGCGTTTGGCATAAGAGAGCAACATGAGTTTCAAGTAAAGAACCCCCTCTCCCTCTGCTACTGGATAGTGATTAATTTATATAATCACTCTCATTTCTACAAACAATTCTACTGACAAATTCCATATGTTGAAATTAATTCTGTGCAGACTTAAGGAACACACTTCTTCAAATAAACATTTATTAAGTAATAGTTTAGAAGCATCTAGTGACTTATTATTTACCTAACAGCTCAGATGAAGTCTTCAGGTTTTTCCTCTCCTAATTGTAAAGGTACACACACACACACACACACACACACGCACACACACACACACACACACACACACACACACGCAATCTGTAATACTAAAAATTAAGCTTGATAGTATGATTTTTGTCGAATCTGGGACAAAGACTAAACAAGATAAACTGAATCAAATTAAGAAAATCTGTTGCCTTACAGAATATCAGCACCCATTAGAAAGTACAATTTTTGTCAAGCAATAATTAGGAAAACAAGGAAGTACCAACAAAAGAATGAACAGGTAAAGGTGATAAATGTAAATGCATGTGAAGAAATACATCAATACATGGTAATATATATGAAACATTATAAACAAATATTGAAAAATCGAGATTAAGTGTTGACAAATAGGTTATTAGAAAAATAATATAATTTAAATTCTTGATCCTACTAGCTGTTAAAAATAAAGGGCTAAAGATACAATGTGAAAATCACTAAAAATAGACAAATAGGTAAATATGGTTCAGAAATCACAGTGATAAAAAGAAATAAATTAATTATTATATCACTTGTAGTATTAAATACTCATAATAAAGCAAAAATAAAGGAACATAAACAACCAAGAATATTTTCAACAAATTTGGTTGAAAAGAGTTTATGTTCACAAAATACAGAGACTATTAGTTCAGAAGGTACTAAACTCCTTCATTCAGCATTCATTTAACCCGGAAACGTCATTTTAATTGTCTGCTGAGAGCCATGTCATCCCTAATGCATTTTGCAAAGTCTACATAGTAAATAAAATGTAGGCAATATATAGGTAACTGGAAAAATGTTTAACATAATTATAAATTATGAAATTTACTATTAATGAAACAAATAGGATGTGACAAGACTGGGGGAGTAAGAAGAGTATCCTAGAAAAAATGTAGTAGTGATGAACAAATGTAAGCACTGCTACTGTACCAATGTTCTCTAATTGGGACTTTGGGGAAGGAAACAGTAACTATACAGGCAACCATGTGCAGTGATATACAATAAAAATATATATTTAATTAAAAATTTCATTTTACTAAAATTTTGTTTTGA